CCCGCCAAAAAAACCTCTAAAGCAGGACCCAGCCCTCTCCCTCCTCCAACTCTCCCACCACCTCAGAGAAGCCACCCAAATCCACGCCCTCCTCATCAAAACCTCCCGCTCCTCCGACCCTTACTTCGCCGGCCGCCTCTCCGAATTCTACGCACTCTCCCCCCACGGGGCCAACCTCCCCTTCGCCGAAAGAATCCTCCACTCCCTCCCTCAACCCCACCCCCTCTTCATCTACAACACCCTCATGCGGGCCCACCTCAACCTGCAAGACCCCGGCAAGGCCCTCCAGCTCTTCGGACAAACCCTAACCCTTTCCCTGCCCCCCGACCACTTCACGTTCACCTTCGCCCTCAAAGCCTGCACCGGGTTGTCGCACGACGGCGCGCTCATCGCTGGCACGCAGCTACATTGCTTTGTGATCAAGCTCGGCCTGGAGTCGAACCCTCATATTCGTAACAAGCTGATTCACCTGTACGCGATCTGCGGACGAGTTGGAGATGCACGCAAGGTGTTCGATGGGAGCTCCGTAAGGGATGTTGTCGCCTGGAATAGCATGTTGCAGGCTTATGCTGATGGCAAGGATGGAGATGGTCTTCGGGAGCTCTTTTGCCGAATGCCGGATCGAGATGTGGTTTCTTGGAATACCGTGATTGGGTTCTACATAGAAATTGGTGAATTTGACGAGGCGATAATGGTGTTCAGATCTATGTTAGAGACCAAAGGGTGTTTCCCTAATAGAGTTACGATGATTACTGTTCTTTCAGCTGTTTGTCAATCGGGTGCATTAGGCCAAGGAAAGTGGATTCATGCTTATGTTCACCGTCGTGGGATTGAGCTTGATGAGAACCTTAGCTCGGCGTTGATCAACATGTACTCAAAATGCGGATGCGTTGAATTTGCGGTGGACACTTTTGAGGCAACGATTCATAGGAGTGTTGATACTTGGAATGCGATGATTGCTGGGTTCACTGCAAATGGCCTGAGCTCCAGGGCAATCAATCTCTTCCATAAAATGGAAAGCTTAGGAGTCATCCCTAATTTTATAACATTTGCTTGCGTTCTAAATGCTTGTAGCCATGGGGGGCTGATTAAACAAGGCAAAGACCTCTTCGAGAAGATGAAAGATGTTTATAACATCGAGCCTGATATTGGGCATTATGGATGCATGGTTGATCTCTTTAGTCGTGCGGGGCTATTCGATGAGGCCGAGAGAACGATTGATAAAATGCCAGTGAAACCTGATGCTGTCATGTGGAAAGCATTGGTTGGGGCTTGCAGAATTCACCACAACTTTGAATTGGGTGTGAAAGCTGGGCACAAGCTCATTGAAGTTGCGCCGGATGATCATGCGAGTTACGTATTGATGTCTAATATTTATGCGATGAAGAATGATTGGAATGGCGTTTGTAGAGTGAGGACAATGATGGCTGAGAGAGGAGTAAAGAAAGTGCCTGGATGTAGCTCGATCGAATTGGATGGCGTCGTTCATGAGTTCATTGCCGGAGATGGTAAGAATGCGAGGAAGAAGGAGATTTATGAGATGTTGGAGGAGATGAGTGAGAGATTGAGGGGTGCAGGTTACGAGCCGGATACAAAAGAAGTGCTTTTGGATATAGAGGATGAAGAAGTGAAGGAGAGCTCGTTGTCGCATCATAGTGAGAAATTGGCGATAGCTTTCGGGCTAATAAGGACGGGTCCGGGCACAACCATCAGAGTTGTGAAGAACCTCAGGATATGCGGGGATTGTCATAATGCAATAAAGATGTTAAGCGAAATTTATGGTCGAGATATAGTGGTTAGAGATTCAAATCGATTTCATCAATTTAGTAAAGGTTCGTGTTCCTGTCAGGATTATTGGTAGCAACTTTGTACTAACTATAAACTATGTCAGGATTATTAGTAGCAACTTTGTACTAATCATAAACCATGTCGTCATTTATAAAGGAAAATTCATTGGTTTTTTTCAATATTAGTCCCCAAAGTCTTTCATATTGAAATTACTCGCTCAAATCGTCATATTTTCCTCAGATCTGCAAGTATTTTGTTATTAATCCCCTGAATCTTCATATTTTGGAATTAACCCTCTAAATCTTTTATGTGATTTGAAACTAGTGCCTCTAGTGATCCATCTGTTAGGGTATACGTCAACAAGAACGCCTCGAACGGAGACGCAATACACACCCAAATAATTTTGGAATCACAGAATAAAACACATATTCAATCACAGTACTCACAGATATAACGTGGTTCACTCTTACGGAGCTACGATCCACGGTGCAACGACGATGCCCAGTTCTTTTATATTCCAAAAGAATTAGATCAAAGAGAACACCTCTCTTGATCAAAATACACTCCATGAATTCTCACAAACCCTCTCTTTGATATTAGGGAAAAAACTCTCTATTTTTCCTTTCTCTTACTCTTCTATAAGAGTAGTTGTTTTTGGGATGATTTTTCCTGAAGAGTTTTGGTCTTATTTATAGTGTTTGGGAAACACTATGCACTAATAATATTTTATTGGTGGGACCCGTCACTAATAATATTTTATTAGTGGGACCCACCACCTTTTTATTTTTCTCAAAATTTGCAACCACCGATTTTTATTTGTCAAAGATGGTGGCTGCATGACATTCCTTTGTCAAAGATGGTGGTTGTCTGACAATCTCCCATTTGAAAATTTGATTGAGTATCAATCATATCTTCACATCATTCTTGGTTGTATCATCCGGATGTCTTGTATCTTTGGCGTCTTGCACGGCCCTCAACGTTCTCAACGAAGGCCATATGAGGTTGCACACAGCCTCACCTTCTCTAGCGGAACTGGCTTGGTCAGCATATCGGCTGGATTGTACCTCGTATCAATCTTCACAAGCTTGAACTCGTTTCTGCTTTGTCATCTCCGTATGGCATGGTGCTTCACGTCAACATGCTTGATCCGAGCATGGAATGCGTCATTCTCTGACAAGTGAATGACACTCTAATTGTCGTAGTGGATGAAGTATTTCTCAAAGCTTACCCCAAGCTCAAGAAGAAAATCTTTCAACTATAGCAACTCCTTTGCTGCCTCTGCTGCAGACACGTACTCCGTTTCGGTTGTTGACAAAGTCACAGTATCCTGTAACTTGGATCTCCAACTTATCGCTCTACTACCCAAGATGAAGATGTAGCCGCTCGTGCTCCTTCTTGAGTATATTTCCCCGGCGTAGTCTGCATCACAAAAGCCTTCTAGCTGTATATCCGCCCCGCCATACTCAAGACAACGGTCGGATGGGCATCTCAAGTAGCGTAGAAGCCACTTGACCGCACCCCAGTGTTGCTTTCCCGGATTGCTCATGAAGCGGCTCACAACTCCCACTCATTGTGCAATATCTGGCCTCGTGCACATCATCGCATACATCAAACTCCCGACGGCAGATGCATATGGTATGTTGGTCATGAACTCATGCTCTTCAACAGTCTCTGGTGCTTGGGTCTTCGATAGCTTGAAATGGCTCGCAATCGGTGAGCCCACCGGTTTAGCTTTCTCCATGCCTAACTTTTTAAGAATCTTCTCAATATATGCCTTCTGAGACAACATCAGCCTCTGTGCTGATTTGTCTCTGATGATCCTCATCCCAAGAATCTGGTTTGCTGGATCCAGATCATTCACCTCGAAGCACTCGGAGAGACGCCTCTTGAGTTCCTCAATGCGGGCTAAGTCGGGCCCAGCAACCAACATGCCATCAACATAAATTAAGAGTATCACATAGGATTCGCCATACCTCTTGATGAAACAATAGTGGTTTGTGTCGCATTTGAGAAAACCGTTCTCCTCCATAAAGTTCTCAAACTTCATGTACCACTGTCGCGGAGCTTGCTTCAGGCCATACAAGCTCTTACGCAGGTGACACACGAGGCCCTCTCTGCCTCGTTCCTCGAAACCCACTGGTTGATGCATATAGATCTATTCCTCTAAATCTCCATGAAAAAAATACCGTTTTCACATCCATTTGCTCTAGATGGAGATCTCGAATTGTCATAATGCTAAACACAGTCCGAATCGTGGTCAACTTGACGACGGGAGCGAAAACATCAGAATAGTCAATCTCTGCTTTCTGCTCATAGCCCTTCACTACAAACCTCGCCTTGTAGCGTCTCCGTCCATCGGCTTCATCCTTAACCCGATAAATCCATCAATTGTGAAGAGCCTTTCGCCCTCTTGGAAGCTTTACGAGCTCCCAAGTCCCATTCTTCATCAAGGATTTTATTTCTTCCTCCATGACAGACTCCCACTCTCCCCGAGCTTTGCCGGTCTGCTGTACCTCCTCATAGCTCTCTGGCTCATCACTGTCAGTTAGGAGAAGATGATTCATAGTGGAAAGGTACATCTCTGGCACCCTCGGATTTCTTAGAGCTTTGCGAATTGTGATCGACAACTTTCCTGGATCCTGCTGCTGTGCATCTGGCATGTTCTCTTGATCTCCGTCTTCTGTGCTAATTGGTATCTCACTGCCGTCCTCACTATCAGTAATATCTGGGAAAAGAGGGGGAGATAGCTGACTCCCACTCACCTCTTTGGTCTTGTACACCAGCATTCTCATGGAATACGACGTCACGACTGCACACCACCTTGCGCGCATCGTGATCCCAGAAATGGTACACATACTCATCTCCTCCATAGCCGATGAAAGAGAGCTTCTTTGACTTTGGATCAAGCTTTGACCGGTCTGCAGAATTGGTCAAGACATAGATGTCACAACCAAATACTCGTAAGTGCTCTAGGTTCAGCTTCTTTTCGGTCCAAGCCTCTTCAGGTATCCCATAACTAAGAGTTGCGAATAGCCCGCGGTTGATCAAGTATGCAGCAATATTGATAACTTCGGCCCAAAAACTCTTGGGCAATCTGGAGTGGATCCTCATACTTCTGCCGCGCTCCAATATAGTGCGATTCATACGCTCCGTCACTCCGTTGTGCTGAAGTGTGTCTAGGATGGTCTTCAGTATCCTAATCCGATGGGACAAGCAGAAGTTCTCGAACTCCTGGCTGCAATACTCGCCTCCATTATCAGACTTTAGGCACTTCAGCTTACTGCATGTTTCGTTCTCCACACAGGCAAGCCACTTCTTGAAGATGATAAAAATATTTGACTTGTGCTTCAAGAAGAACACCCATAATTTTCTAGTAGCATCATCAATAAAAGTGACAAAGTAAAGAGAGTTACCAACAGATGGGACTTGCGCAGGTCCCCACACGTCGGTGTGCACCAACTCAAGAGTTGCGAATAGCCCGCGGTTGATCAAGTATGCAGCAATATTGATAACTTCGGCCCAAAAACTCTTGGGCAATCTGGAGTGGATCCTCATACTTCTGCCGCGCTCCAATATAGTGCGATTCATACGCTCCGTCACTCCGTTGTGCTGAAGTGTGTCTAGGATGGTCTTCAGTATCCTAATCCGATGGGACAAGCAGAAGTTCTCGAACTCCTGGCTGCAATACTCGCCTCCATTATCAGACTTTAGGCACTTCAGCTTATTGCCTGTTTCGTTCTCCACACAGGCAAGCCACTTCTTGAAGATGATAAAAATATTTGACTTGTGCTTCAAGAAGAACACCCATAATTTTCTAGTAGCATCATCAATAAAAGTGACAAAGTAAAGAGAGTTGCCAACAGATAGGACTTGCGCAGGTCCCCACACGTCGGTGTGCACCAACTCTAATTTATGTAGTTTTAGAGCTAGTCCAGTCTTGTTGAAGCTCACCTTCTTCTGTTTGACTGGGATACAGTCCTCACAGAAAGTCAGATCGATCTTGCTCAGACCCGGAAGCCTCTCTCCCGTGGCCATAATTTGCATCCCCTTCTGGCTCATGTGGCCAAGTCGTCGATGCCGAGTCATGCAGTTGACGGATGATGATGATGATGCTTGTTCTGTGACAAGCAGGCGGTCGATCTTCCCATTGGCGATGTAGAGAGATCCCTCGCGTTTGTCGTGTGCCACCACCAATGCACCCTTGGACACCTTCCAGCTTCTCTGTTCGAATGATACTCTATAACTGGAGTCAGTCAGTTGTCCGACTGATATAAGATTTCGCCTGAGATCCGGTACATGTCGAACGTCGTTCAACGTCAAGGTGGTTCCGCCCTCCATCTTGATGGTATAATTTTCCTTCCCGGAAACCTTACAAGGTTGATGTTGTCAAGATAGACTGTCCCTAGGTCCTTCTTCACGAACGATGAAAGCAGCTTTTGTTGTGAAGTTGCATGGAAATATGCACCAGAGTCGATGACCCATACATCACTTTTGACTTCTAGGGATAGGAGAAGCGCATCTGAATCTGTTTCGTGCATGAGATTGGCTGCACCGTCAGCCTGATCATCCTCTGCTGATGTAGGAACAGAAACTTTGCAGTCTTGTGTAAAGTGACCATTCTTTCCATATCTGAAGCACTTCCCTTCACCGTAACCATTTGGGTTCGGCCCTTTAGACTTTCCTCTGGATTTTGATCGGTCTCATCATCCCCTACCCTTCTTCTGTGCACGCCCTCGTGCCTCGACATGCAGAGCACTCCCACTGCTAGAGGCCTCAGCTCCTGAGACTTTGCGGTGAGATTCTTCATCCATAATTGCCCTAATCACTGTGTCCAGCTTTATCTTGTCATTGCCATTGGCGTTGCTCACCGCCATCACCAAATTCTCCCACGAATCTGGTAGACAAGAAAGTAGCAGAAGAGCTTGGATCTCATTGTCGAACTTGAGATCCACTACAGCAAGTTGTTGTACCACAACCTGAAATTCGTTCAAGAAGTCCGCCACGCGAGCTCCTTGCTGCATCTTTAAATTAAATAGCTTCTTCATCAGGTACACCTTATTTGAAGCAGACAGCTTCTCATACAGCACCTCCAATGCCTCCATTAACTCTTTGGTGGTAGTCGCATGCGAGACGTTGTAAGTCACATGCTGG